TTTTTTTTTGTCTTCGTATCATTTTTTTGAATCATAAGTCAATCTCATTCTATGTTTGAGTATGCTTTGAATTACCTAATATCACCGTATCGTTAGCACGGAAATTATACTTTGAGTATGCTTTGAATTACCTAATATCACTGTATCGTTAGCACGGAAATTATACTAGTAGCGATAGAAACCATGCCGAAGACAATTAATGGGTTTATTTACCGTTTACGATACGAGATCGGAGGCTCGGGGTACTACTCACTCGATTAACACCACGGTGATCTTCCAATTGCACGTGTACTAATATTTTTCACGCAGTATATGATTGAAGCTTTAGCTCGTGCGCGCAGAGTTCTTTGTGCAGTTTGGAGCTAGCCAATCACCAGTTCATGGCTGCGGCTAGTTCCGAATTCAGGGTGCAGAAAGGGGCCGCACTATGCGCATCACTTGTTTGTTCCACCGCATTAACTTTGGGTTTATGACCCCGGGCCCCCGCCACGTAGACCAGTACGAGGGCGTGGCAGCCGATCGGACGTGGCAGGACAGTCAAAGCTCTGTACCGCCCGTACGGACGCGCCGCGAGGTGCCTGTGTCCCTCCGTCCCGCCCTCCCAAGCACGCAGAGGCGCAGAGCGCCGGTGGCACAGTGGTGCGGCAGGGAGGTGGGGGCCGCCACCCGCGCATGGTCACGTCACGGGACGGCGTCCCGAGGCAGCCCAGGCAGGGGACGAGCGCGGCACGCCGGCGCGGGCCACGGCCAACAGGATGTGGCCTCGGCTCCGCACGGTACCCCGATCGGGGTCCCCGCCACCCCGGCCCGGGCGTGCGCTGCCTCTGCACTGTGTTCCATTGGCAGGTGGGGCTGGGGTCTCGTGGTCCGGAGTGACAGGGAGAGAGACGTCACGGGCCAGTAGGGCACGGCGGCACGCTGTGGAAACGGTCGTCTTGTGGCGTGGCAGTGTGCTCCACCGGCAGTGGTTGGTTCGCAAGATCTTGTGTACGGAGTAGAGTCCAGTCTGCAGTGGACATCAGTCTAGATCGGCGTTTAACCATTTCACCGTTTCGTTGATTACAAGGATGGCGACTCCAGGGCTTGATCAGCGCACGAACTTCGGCAGATGATGTCTGGGCAGAGAAAAGTAGTAGCCCACCCATTTAGGTATGTTTGGATTCGCTGATCTAAAATTTAGTTGATCATGGTTGGAGACTAAAATTTTAGACTATTTTAACTCACATATGTAGTCTAAATTTTTGTAAGGTTAACTCGATTTTAGACAACACTTTGCACTAAATTTCTAAGGTGTTTTTGCAACTTCAACAGATTGGCTAATCTTGTTACGAAGGCTATTTTAGAATTTGTATCGAAAAAAGTAGGCTCTAACAGATGGGCTATCTGACTTTGTAAAATAGAAAGCTAGCTATCCCTTGACTTTTGGCGGACAAATATAGCCCACCACGAACACTCGCTATCTGATTTTGTAAAATAACAAGGCTATTGTCGATCTTTTTTTAGATGTTTTCTATTTTACAAAATAGATAATAATGGAATTTGGCTACTAATTTTAGCCAAGCTGTTGGAGTTGCTCGACACAAGAGAAAATGGCCACTACCTTCCTCAATTTTCAAATAACTTATTCGGTCGGTTATGTAAGCATGCAAGCTAAGAGCAAGTATGATAAGGGGATGTAAATGGGTTGTATACTGATGTGGAGGAGAGAGAAGAGAAACGCTGTCGGATACCATAAAAATGGTATCCTAAGTAAGAATCGAAAAAATTGCTTAGATCTTGTAAATATCGAAGCCTAGACACAACAACGAGGCCTCTCGCTTTGTTGTTTGGAACTAAGATTCTTGATCCGATTCCCGAGGCCCACGCCGCAAGCCTTCAACGACGAGTACCGATTCTCCGCTTGCTTGAGGCCCCACCCAATCATGTTCGGGCTTTGTTAGGCCTCGGACGAGGTCTTGACCGATTCTCCGTCTCGCTCTAGGCCGGCTCGGCATCAACCCCATCGCCGCTTTGTTCCGACTTTCTCGACGGACGTCTGACACCCAATCGAAGCTGCGTTCAACCACTCCCATTAACGTCGGACCCATGCGGCGACAAGCATCTTGGTGAGTGTGTGACCGACGACGGAAGTCACATCAACGCCCGCATCATCCGGACAGGGGGCGGGGTTACTGTCAAGTATTTAGCTACATGTTCATCGATCGATCTTGTGCACGAAACATCGCCCTTTGATGACGTGTTAATCAGGCCGCCTAACCCTGCTCCAAGGACATTACAAGGCGTGAGAGTCAAGTCCGGTACACCTGATCTAAAATTAGCCTCGGAATCAATGAACAAGACCAATCTGCTCCCTCCGAAGTCTCTAAGGCTATCCGCTTCCCGGGTTTCAGAATTTGCCTGGACCTCGGGACTTGTGACTTTGCCGATAGAAAGCCCCCATGATGGTTCACCTACGCATCGACTAGGCCTCGGCTCTCTACGTTATCGGCCTCTCTGGGTTGCTCTCACAAGAAAATGGCCACGCCTTCCTTGCAAATAACGCGCCATACCGCGCCAGTGATAAGGGGATGTAAAGTAAATGGGTTGTATAATCGATGTGGAGGAGAGAGAAGAAAGCCGTATACCATAAAAATGGCCCCACGTCGCGCCTTGTAGATATCAAGCCCCTAGCTCACGCCCCGCGGAATCGCCCAGCCCGCACCATCGCATCAACACGCCTCGGCACATCGCATCAACCGCCTCGGCACCGATTCTCGCTACCATCTAGGCCGGCTCAAACATCTGATAACCGAATTCTCCGCCTCAAGCGGTCAGAGAAGCTACCGCCACCACCACAGAACGGCGTGGCCGATCGGCGCGCTCCAAAGGCACCAAAAACATGACCGCTCCACCGACCATACCGCCACACGGTGACAAGCTACGTGGCTCGGACATACCGCCTCCACCAAGAAAACGCCACGTGGCGGCGCGAGCGAAGCATGTATCGCCCCTGTCCTCCCCTTCAACTATAAAAGGGAGTGACCGGGGCCGTTTCTACGAAGACATCGCTCAGATAGACACACACACAAGCAACGAACAACACTCTGTGATACGCACGCTCCCTCACTGCAAGAGATCAACATCTCAAGCAACCCACGCCGCTTCACGTAGAGACCTGAGACGAACTCTCTCTCTCGCCCTGCTTGTAAACCCCTACTACGAGCATCTCGGTGTAAGGAATACAAGATCGCTCTCCCAAACTGGACGTTGGGCACCTATTGCCTGAACCAGTATAAACCTTGTGTCTCTTTGCATCACCATCCGGGACAGGGACACACAGTACATTTTCACTCGTTGGTTGAGGACCCGCCGGTCCAAAACACCGACAAACGCGTTATAAACTTATAGTCCGTTTATGCATAAGAACCAAGAAGTTTTATGAGACAGACAAGTGGAGTGTAAGCTGGCTAACTATTACGAGATAAAGAGTGATCATTACATCACCAAGATCCCCATGTCCATTCTAGATGCCTGATGTCTATTGTTGTTTCAACTTGAGCTTCCTCTTGCATCCTTGTTCTAGTTTACAGATCTGTGTTTGCCATACATGTGTTCCCTCTCGTGATAGTCAGTAATTTGATCAAATTCAAACATGACAACTTGAGGTTCACCTTGTAACTCATTGCCATCTTGTGTCAGTGTGGGAGGTGGAATCCATACCAGTCTCTGCAAAATTTTTGCATGCCCATTGCTTGCACTCCCCCTTAGAAAACAATTGAGCTTATTCAGCATTATTTTTTAGCCATCGAACAGTGTTTTTCTCTCACAATATTTTAGCCTAAGTCAAATTTCAGCATAAGCGAACACGCGAAATGTCTTCTTTTGCTTACTCTTGTGTTCTTGTTGTTCAAATTCATTTTTGGGAGAATGATCTTGCTGAGAGACAAAAAAAAAGGGGCATCGTAATCTATTGTCGAGGATGCACACAGCTATTAGTTAGTGATTCAAACAACCCTAGCTAGTTTTTAGTTCTAATAATTGGCTCTAAACGTTCAAACAGGGCTAAGTGATCGCAGCTTACAATCGAAGTGAGTTGAAGTTTGGTATAGTAGAACTAGTGCCCATTAAATGTTGCCGTATTGGCTATGTTTCATTTAAAATAATTCTAATTCTATTACTCGTACAATGTTTCCTTTTCTTTTCACTCAAACGCTACTCGATGCTGGCTTGCAGTGAAGAAATCCGGCATGGTTAGTGGCAGATCTTAACCTGGGTCATGGATTTAGGGCCAGTTTGGTTGTCGAAATTTTTGGCAAAATGACACTGTAGCGTTTTCGTTGTTATTTGGTAATTAATATCCAATTATAGTCTAATTAGGCTTAAAAGATTCGTCTCGTGGATTTCGTCTAAAATGTATAATTAGTTTTATTTTTTATTTATATTTAATGTTTTATACATACGTCCAAAAATTTGATATGAAAATTTGGCATTTTAAAAGGAACTAAACAGGGCCTTATTCCCCTATCCCCCAAGAGTTACTGGACCAAACGAGACATCGCGGCTTACTGCAGTGACAAGCAGAGTTCAGAACTAGCAATCGCAGAAGATCCTAGCGAGCCACACGTGATCGGCGCAGTTCAAGGCAAGCCGCGCCCCCCTCATCACTCGCTCTCATTTTACCGTTGAGGCCAGGCCGCCATCAAAGTGGAAGCCAATCGGTGCATACATTTGTACAGTACACTAGTCCACTCTACGCAGGCAGGGAGGGCAGGGGCTACTTCACTCTAGGATTCTGTACGCCCGAGGACAGTCCCGTAATTGCGCCCCGCACAGTGCCTGCGCTGCGAGTGTGCCACCACAGTGCCCACGCCCTACTGTTTTAAATCCCCTGCCGCCGCTCACCCCCGCCGTCCCCGCCTTCCATCATCCATTCTCCCAAAACAGCACTGCTGAATCCCCCGGCCGCGCTGCTCCCCACCCACCATTCCGCGATTCTCCCACCGGGAACGGCGGGGAGCGCCATGGCGTACATGTGCGCCGACAGCGGCAACCTCATGGCCATCGCGCAGCAGGTGATCCAGCAGCAGCAGCAGCAACAGCAGCACCAGAGGCACCACCACCACCACCTGCCGCCGCCGCCGATGCCGCTCCCGCTCCCGCTCCCGCCGCGCCAGGCGCCGCCGGTGCCGCCGGCCCCGGCCCCCCCGCACGGCCAGATCCCGGCGGCATCCCTGCCGTACGGCGGCGGCGCGTGGCCCCAGGCGGACCATTTCTTCCCTGACGCCTTCGCCGGCACGTCCGCGGCTGACGCGGTGTTCTCCGACCTCGCCGCCGCCGCGGACTTCGACTCCGATGTGTGGATGGACAGCCTCATCGGGGACGCACCGGTCTTCGCGGACTCCGACCTCGAGCGCCTCATCTTCACCACCCCGCCGCCGCCCGTCCCCGTCCCCTGCCGCCGCGCCCGCTGTGGCCCCCGTCGACGCGGCGGCCCAGCCCGAGGCCGCCACTCCGGCGTCGCTTCCCCAGCCTGCCGCCGTCGCTACGCCGGCAGCGTGTTCCTCTCCGAGCTCCTTGGACGTCTCCTGCTCCGCGCCCATCCTCCAGTCCCTCCTCGCCTGCTCCCGTACAGCGGCCGCTGACCAAGGGCTCGCGGCCGTGGAGCTCGTCAAGGTGCGCGCTGCCGCCTCCGACGATGGGGACCCCGCGGAGCGCGTGGCGTTCTACTTCGCGGACGCGCTGGCGCGCCGCCTCGCGTGCGGCGGCGGGGCGCAACCCTCGACGGCAGTGGACGCGCGCTTCGCCTCCGACGAGCTCACGCTCTGCTACAAGACACTCAATGACGCCTGCCCCTACTCCAAGTTCGCGCACCTGACCGCCAACCAGGCCATCCTGGAGGCTACGGGCACGGCAACCAAGATCCATATCGTTGACTTCGGGATCGTGCAGGGTATCCAATGGGCGGCGCTGCTCCAGGCGCTCGCCACTCGCCCGGGGGAGAAGCCGTCCCGGGTTCGTATCTCCGGTGTACCCTCGCCGTACTTGGGGCCAAAGCCTGCGACGTCCCTCGCCGCAACCAGTGCCCGTCTCAGCGACTTCGCCAAACTTCTTGGGGTGGACTTCGAGTTCGTCCCATTGCTGCGGCCAGTGCACGAGCTGGATCGGTCGGATTTCTCGGTTGAGCCTGACGAGACCGTAGCTGTCAATTTCATGCTCCAGTTGTACCACCTTCTTGGCGACTCCGATGAGCCCGTGCGACGACTCCTCCGGCTGGTTAAGTCACTGGATCCATCAGTGGTTACCCTTGGGGAGTATGAGGTCAGTCTGAACCGAGCTGGGTTCGTCGACCGGTTTGCCAATGCACTGTTGTATTACAAGCCAGTGTTCGAGTCACTGGATGTGGCGATGCCACGGGACTCACCGGAGAGGGTGAGGGTGGAGCGATGCATGTTTGGGGAGCGCATTCGAAGAGCCATTGGGCCAGAGGAGGGTGAAGAGAGGACTGATAGGATGGCGGCTAGTAGGGAGTGGCAGACACTAATGGAGTGGTGTGGCTTTGAGCCTGTCAAGTTCAGCAACTATGCCATGAGCCAGGCTGATCTTTTACTTTGGAATTATGATTCAAAGTACAAGTATTCACTTGTTGAGCTGCCACCAGCGTTCTTATCTCTGGCTTGGGAGAAGCGGCCGCTGCTCACCGTGTCTGCTTGGCGGTGAGTCCTTTTTGCGTATTAGCGCTGTTGTATGTAGCTTTGTCATAGGATCAGGGAAGAAATGGATAAATTGGTTTTGCATTGTCTTAGTTTCCTCCCAAGATGATAACAATGGCTAGATGGTATAATTGGGACTTTAGTTAACTTGTTTGATGTTTGTTCTACTACATGATCAGTAGCTAGAGCAAAATTAGTGCTAATTGTATAGAAATGGATAGCAGGTGGAGTAGACTGCTTGCTCATGTGGTTTTATGAATTCTGATGGCCATTGGCATTCCGTTCTGTATGTGTATCAGTGAATGAATATGAAAAATTATATGGGCACCTCCATCTTTGCAATCAATAAGCTTATAGTCGTAAACTAACTATAACCAATGTTTGCTTAAGTGTTATTGCAACTACTATTCTCATGTGTTTGGTTGCAATGGTAGTGTAGTGCACAAAATGAAATTCTGTTTGAGCTGATTTCAACCTTGCTAGTCCAGTTATTCTGCGTGCTACCTCAGGGTTGTCATCCATAAGCGTGTCAATTGCTACTACTTCATTAACCTGCATTCTTTCCTTAGTCATCTGTTCGCTTTTTCCGTCTTAGTCCTTATTAAGTTTGTCTATTGAGAGTAATAATTTTCTGGAAGCGCCATTGATCTCTTGTTGCTGTTTCAAGGTTCATGACCTCAGTTCTCAGTTCTTATGTGTTTGCTGTCTGTTTCTTACTTGAATTTAGTTTCTCAAGTATTCATCACAGATAGCTCAGCATTGTTTGTAGCTGCACATGCCTGTTGCAGGTGTTCCAATGCACATCAAGGACGCCACCATTTATTTGAATGAGAAGCAATGCGCTCGTTACCCTATTCCAGTGCTGCCCTGTATCCTTGCTGTTCTGATTGTAAGCTGTCATTTTCATGCAATTTGTTAGGAGGCTTGGCGTTTTATCTTGATCCGGAAGGCAGCATATTTCCTTTCTGTTGAAGCTTAGTCTTTTCTTCTGGAGTTAAAATTGCTACTCGTCTTCAAGACTCCACGCATTTTAGCTACAAAAACGTTATTCATCATTCTAGTGAAAAGGATCGCATGCCTGCCTTTATTTTCTGGTTCTTTCGGTTACTTGGACTCTGTTCCTCACCCTTTTCTTGGATGAGAACGCATGCAGTGACCGATATCTGGACTCGGAGCAATGGCTTGTTTGGTGCCCGCACCAAGCCATAATTATGGACTAAGCAGTGAGAGCGATGTTGTTTTTCCTGAAACTCATATGTTCCAATGGACATTATATCACTGTAGGAGTTATTTGTCTAGTTTCATCTTGACTGCAATTTATTGTAGAAAATACAAGTTCTTTTTAACAATAATAGAGAAGTTCACTGCAACTTAACCCTGAAGGTTTAGGGTTACAAATTTGCAAGATCAAATAACCCCGACTTGTTTTGGCAGAGCAGAGTGGCCATGGTAGCGATCACGTCGCGCGAGTGGTCGCATATGGCCGTAGGTGCACTGTTCATATTCTTGTCCTCGGCTTTGGTCTTTGACGAGTGCATATAATTGCACTTGCGCATTTTGATTTTATTGTACTATTTTTTTTTAAATTATAAGACGTTTTGACTTTTCTAGATACATTGATTTTATTATAAATAAAAACTAAGTAATGAAAAAAAATTAAAATATCTTATAATTTAGAATCGGGAATATTAGTTAAACGCTCCTGTAGAGGATCCTTTCCGCACAAATAGGGCGTGCCAAGGGCTCCGCGGTTCCGCGACAGCGGACTCCTTCCCTGGAGCTGCAAATCTTGCTCCGCCTTCGAACGTGAAAAGGGTTCCGCTGCCAGAGTTGTTGGCAGAACTAGAGCTGGAGCACCCCAAACATGCCCTTATAATTGATGAAATATAAGACAATTTAGCAAGATTGAACACCCGTGCATCCAATCAGAGGTCAGCCAAGACTTGTTATAAACTGCTATTGGCAACTTTATAACTGGACCCAGGATAGTCTTTGTTGATTTGGGCTGTTTGTTGCCACTGTTTAGAGTGTCTTTTATTGGGCTCGATATCAGGCGTGACTAGGGGTGATGCCTCTCAAGCCACAACAATCGGCTCCCACGATGGGCTTCGCGATTGTCCTGTAGCCTGTAGGGCCGTAGGGGGGTTTGAATTATCCTACCACAAATCTTGTCATCAACCACTTCTTATGATCACCTTCACCACTTGGGTTCTTAATCAAAACTACCCCCATAATGTCTCATGCCTTACACTATTCAGTCGATCTGATCAAGCAATCCGCAGGGTAGAGTCCACGGCATCTGCATGGGGTAGTCGTATTCCAGATTTTTCTACTGAATACTGGGCCAAAACGCAGAGTGCTTTTGGGCTTTCAGAACTGGTCCCTGGGCAGCCTGCTTTTCCTTTACGCCGACTGTTGCTGTCTTGTGACGATTTGGTCGGGTTTTGTAAGCCTAGCCTCGGACGAAACACATCAGCCCGGTACATTTCGCGCTTGCTGCGACACCACCACCACTTGGCTCTAAATGGTAAAGCCTCCATCTAAACAAATCAAGAATCGGGAGCTCGTGTCACCGCCCCACAATCGCCAGGGCGCCGGATACGGATACACCGACTGGCCACCCGCGACGCGACGCGAGTCGCGTGCCGTCGTGCGACGAGAGAGACTTGGGCGACTGACACGAGGCGTCCCTATCCCCTGCGCGCTTTTCCACGCCGAGACCGCTGGCAGAATCCGCTCCCGCGCTCGTGTACGTGTGCGGCCGCCGCGCGGTCCACGGCGCCACGCTGCCACCCCCTTTGGTGCCTTCCAGGCGCGCCCCCGTACGTGTGCCCCCGCGCGAGGCGCCACGGCGACGGCGGCAACCGCACGGCAGGCGCGGCCGCTTATAATCCCTCCTCGCCCGTGGTCTGGGAACACATCGCCCACATCGCCGTGCGCTCGTCCACTCTGTTGCTCAGGTACCCCTACACGCTTCGGGCGGCGGCTAGCAGCACGGGACTCGGGTTCGCGCTCGGCCGGATCGGCGGCACGACGAGGGGCAGCGGTGCCGCGGCGCCAGGCTAGGTGGTACCCGCCGCGGGCGTAGGACGCGGGAGGAGAGTGTCCTCGACGCCGGCCGGCAACGCACCCGTGCCGGGCGACCAGGGCGTCGGCATGGAGCAGCCGAAGCAGCAGCTGCCGCAGGTGCCCCCGCGGGACGCCGCCGCCGGGGGCAAGAACAAACGCGACGACATGCACAAGACCACCGGGTAATCCTGATCCACCGCGTCTCCGATTCTATGCCTTCTCCGCGCGGTATGCTTGCGGTGTTTGATTGGTTTCGGCCACGTCGCGCGCACGCAGGGACGTGATGACCCACTCGTTCGGGGAGGGGTACTCGACGCGGTCGGACGAGGAGGGCTTCGGTGGCGTGTACGGCGGGAACGACCCCGTGGAGCACCCGGGCACCGAGATCCATCCTAGCCACCCCGGTACGTGCCGTGCACGCGCGCTCTGATCTCCGGCAGAAACGCCGGGTTGTTTGTGTGTGAGATGACGGTGTATTGACCGGCGGTGATCCATTCTGTGCAGACTACGACACGTCGCAGGGTTCGGAGGTGAAGGAGAAGGAGAAGGCGCGCCCAAGGACGAAAAGCACGCCACCGCCAAGGCGCAGGCGGCGAGATCAGTCGGGGTTGTCAGACGTTTAGTTAGCGCCCAGCTGAGTTTGCTTTGCTCCCGGTTCAGGGGATGTCACGTCCTCGTGGTTCACTGCTTTCGAAACACTACCATCTCAAATTAGTAAGCTGTTTCATGGAGCTTTCGTGATATGTATGTTATTTCTACTCTTTTCTTGTGGCTTTTTATGTAATAAGCTACAATTATTTTGCGCGTGCCAGATTCAACCTCAAGTCTGTCGACCAGTTTATGTATATATAAAAAAAAACCTAAGCTAAGTGGACAATTTATGTATACGTCAACCAAATACTTGAAATGTACGTATTTCGAATAAATTCGATAGCCCTCCAAATCAATTTTTCACTGTCTTTTTCAGCACTGTTGGATCATTCAACGGCCTATACGAAATTCTCTTAAACTATAATAGCATGACAAATTATAATGGCATGGTTTCTATATGACAAGTAATGGCGAATCTAAAAAACGTGACATTTTATAATGCCATGGTTCAAATGGAGATTGAATTAACCAAGGCTATTGATCATCTACTCAACGCTATCCAGGCCTTATGGTTGCATTTGTAAGAGCTGTGAAGCTGTATGATGGTAGCAAGCCAAAAAGGTAGCGCATGCAATAGCTTTTGAGGTAGCTTTCCTCTTCCATTGCAAGTTCGTGGATGCTTCAATTTTTTGTCAATTGTCAATTGGGGCAATCGTTGCCTCTGCAGGTAATGGTTTTAATAGTTCACGAAACCATCGATATCTGTAGCATTTGTCATTGGAGCTTTGCAGCATATGTGGAGGTTAGGGCTACTAGCCACGTTGGTGCGTTATGGCTGCTTTTAGTTATCACAGAGGGCAGACCCAGCTCCCCGTGCGTGTTGGATTAATTTCAGATTTTACACAGAGCTGAGGGTCATCGTCTACTTTGATGTATAGTTAGCTAGAAACCTCATCTCGTATGACCAATGGATCAGTGTATCCGACTAGGAAAGTAATATGTAACAAAGATTAAAGCAGCACCGACTTTGTAAACCTACCACTAAACTATGTAAGGATGTAAGGTTGGTAGGGACCTAATTAGGACCTAATCTCATATCAACACACTTTAACATACGTGAACAGAGCAACCCAATCCACAAATACAGAATTTGTAGGGTGTTACTTCCATGAGGGGTCCGAACTTGTCCAAGCTCTTTGTCTTGCATGCCACCGTCTAGTCCCCGCCCCCCCCCCCTACCACGCCCATATTTACTGTTTGGCGACTGAATATGTAATCACATTGACCTAAGATAAAACACTCAATTGTATGTCGTAGGCCAAGGATAACCAAAACCGCAATTAGAACTATCGATCTCTGTTATTGGTCCGTGTATGTCGTATACATCAATTTTGAAAAGTTTGAAACTGTTATTTCGAGGGTATCGAGTTTTATTTCTTATCCCTTTATTCTTCCTGTGTAATGGATGGACGTATGAGCTTGTTATAGGGTTGGAAGTTTTTCTAATATTTTTCATCATATTTTCCATAGTAGTTGTGGATTTATGCATTTGATACCAAAAGTCACTTCTTTTTTTATTTGATATATGAGATTTTGTTTAACACTGTTGGTTGGAGATGAGGTGAGATAGGTGTGGCAGAACCTCTTGAATTATATGGCTTAAATGTGCCTGCCATTGTCTTACATACTTCTGACTGCTGAACATGGGAGCCAGACAACCCCGGAAGTCTGTCGGGTGTCCTCGGGAAACCTCGAATTATCCACTTCATTTTTCCGAGCAGGGCACATTATAGAAGACATTGCATATACAAATATATTACATCAGAGTAAATGACGAAAGTCTTACGAACCATAAATTTACAAATCGTTTATTAAGTTGATACAAAACATAAGCTTTAGCCGATTAGGCAGTAGGGTAGCATGACATATACACACACAAAAGAGGGTTCACCCTGCCCAAGAGTGCACAACTAACTCTTCTACTGATGACTCCCCTCCTGCAACAAGAGTTTAACAAACCCTGAGTACAAATGTACTCAACAAGACTTAATCGATGAAAAGGAAAGACTCCAAGAATATGCAGACTTGAAGGGAATCAAGGTAAGTGTAGCAAGAATCAAGATTAACTTTTGCGTAAAAGCTTATTAACAATTGATCCTTTCAATATTTTAGCCCCCCAAGTTAAGTAATAGAAGTCTCTAGTTTGCACTTGATCTAAATAAATCACTTCTTTAACTTTCTCAGACTACCATAAAATTTTCATGGCATTTGGATAAGTAGAATAGCCTACACAAAAATGACAAGGCATAATTGCTTAAAAAGGCATAAATAGAAAACCTTAGTTAAAAGTACCAAGCAACAGATTTCATATTTTTCCTAACATCCTTAATGTACTGGGATACTCCCCACAAAATTTCATGGTCATAGGATTCTTAGATAATTTACAAAAATTTACACAAGTATCAATCAATGATAAAAGAAAAATCTATAACTCAAAAACCACACATGCAATGACTCTCAAATTTTTACCAGAGCTTATACTAAGCAAGAATAGCTTACCCACAAAATTTCATAATTTTTGGACCAAAGAAACTCTAGATATAAAATAAACAAGTTTGCATGAATTCAAAAACACATTTCAAATTTCCATTTAAATCTTCCAAAATTTCTACTGTAAGTATCAAGACTATATTTTTCCTAAATACTAGACTTCCTAAGGAACACTACCAAATTTATTTCATAATTTTTGAAGCTACAAAACTGGAGATACAATTATTACAAAACAACATAGAAATCTGTTAATTTGAACTAGCCTATCACTAAACTGTCACTGACGCGTGGGACCCGCTTGTCAGCCGGACCCGCCTGTCATTGACACAGAACAGGGGAGACGGCACGCGACGGCGCGGCGATGGTCGAGCTCGCCGACGGTGGCTCCTCCGGCGAAATCGACAGCACCTACACGATCTACGTGACGAGCCGCGTCGAATGGTGCTACCGGAGAGACCTAAGACCTAGCGGAGGGGGCTCGTCGCCGGCGATGGCGGCACGACAGCGCTCCAGCGCGAGACGCCGGCGACAGCAAGCCATGGCTGACTCAACCGAGCTCGGCATGAGCTACCGGGGGTCGCTACGGTGCTACCCAAGCAAGAATAGGGGGACGAGAAGCCCCGGTGGCAGTTGGCCGCGTAGAGCTCCAACTCCGGCGAGACTCCATCATGGCGGGCGGTGGAGGAAACGGCCAATGTGCCCTTACCAAGACCCAATCGGTGTAGCCAAGGGGTGGAGGAGGTAGAGGGGAACACGGCGGACCGGCAGACCGACTGGCAGTCGCGTTTTTGTGGCGGCGAGCGAGCTAGGCTATGGCGGAGCGGCTCGGCACGGCTGCGGCTGCTGCGGTGACGAAGGAAGGAGACGAAGGAAATGAAAAATGAGTGGGTGAGTTGGTCGGGCAGGCGCACGGGGGATTAAGGCGAGGCCAGCGGTGCCAGGACGGCCGCGGCGCGTGGCCTGCGCGGTCAGGCGACCGGCGACGCGCGGCATACACGCGGCGGTGAAACATTGAAACGGTCGGCACTATAGTAGCGATTCAGTTCAAACAGCAGAGCAAACAACCGGCCTGACAGCGTATTTTCGTCGATCCATAACTCCTAAACCGTTGATTAACATCGAAAACAATCAGGATACAAGTTGTAGCCCTAAGTACCAGCTACAAAACTCATTTAGAGATCAAAGTCTAATTCGCAAAGGACAGAGAGTAAAATCAGGCCAAAGTCGAGCTCATGAAACTGAAAACTCGGTTTTCGTACTTAGAAAATTTCTAAGTGTTGAACCCAACCTAAAATCTGACTTGTGGGACCATTTAGAGCATGTTGTGCATATTTTCATGAGTTAGTCATAAAATAACTTTTGTTCCTTATAAAATTTGCTACCACTTTGCTTTAGGTTGCTTAGGCATACATAGACTCTAAGTTGCACTTTTTAAACAATCAAACCAAAAAGTCCTAAGGTCAAAACAAGTCAAACCATGACTTGGAAACTTAATTAGGCAAAATGATCAACATGAACATGGTTTCTAATGACCTTCTAAGTATAACTAAGTTGTTTAAAAATATATTTAGCCATATCACACATTGGTCACACAAGAATCAAGCACTGAACGTACTGAAACAATGAAAAACAATTGAAAAGTTACTTTTGTTTCATAGTCATGTTTCACATGTTTCATGATCTTGTTGCATCGTACTAACTAGCTATGTTCCACTAAAGTGAGTTGCACATGTTGCACTTGGGTGTTGCACACTATTCATATCACAATAAAAAAAAACACTCATGAAAGATACAGTATGTGCAAGGTTTCGATAACATGTTTCATGTGATATATGCTCATGAATGGATGAATAATGCTCATGTTCATAAAATACAAGTGCAATTATGCAAGCCTAATACTAGGGGTGTTACAAGTTGGATCGCTACTTGGATGAAGAGCTATTGGACATGAATACTAAAAATTTCAGAGTTTTAGATTGGTGGAAGGTGGCTGGAACTCGGTTCCCAACTTTGAGGAAGATTGCTAGGGATATATTTGCCATTCCTGTTACAACTGTAGCCTCAGAATCAGCTTTTAGCACTAGTGGTAGGGTTTTAAGTGAGCATCGTAGCAGGCTCACTACCAAGATGATAGAGGCCCTAATGTGCTCTCAAGATTGGCTGAGAAACAAGTATAAAGGTATATTTAACAATGCTCCTATGTCTATTAGCTTGCTATTAATTTCTGCATATATTTATTAATATTCATGCAAGCCAACTCATTTGCTCACTTATGTTTGCTAGTTGATGAAAAGAACAAGCAGCCTGCAACCTTCTGGTCATGTCTTCAGGACATACAAGAGGGGCTTCAGGTGATTTGCCATTCTTCAAATGTGTCTATTTTTAGCTTCTTTGTGAATGTGATAATAGATAGCTAAGTTGTGACATGTTTATGCTAATATAGGAACTCACCATCTGAGGATAAATGAACTGGCCATGAGATTGCGCCCTTTTGATCACAGGAACAAGACAAATGATGCAAGAATTGGATGACGTGCATGTGCTTCCTTTTGATGTCTTATCTGTAATTGTATTTGTGAACTTGTAACCTGTGTGGTCTCTCTTTATTTCATGGTAGATGAATCCATATGAACTTAATATTTAGTATGTGCTGCAACTGTTGGAACTGGTGGCTGAACTTGAAAAGTGGGAAGGTTGGTGTGTGTGTGCTACTTTTCAGCACACATTTAATTTGTAGTTTGCTGGAATGAACCAATGAGGTATCTGATCTATTTCAACTAGCTTGACCTGGATATATTTCTGTTTTGCTGCTCTATTGTTGATTTGTTTTGCTGGAAGCTATTATATTTTGGTGTGTGAACTCGGGTATATTGTTGGGTGCGGGTTACCCGTCGGGTGCAGGTATGGAATGAATTTTCTACCCATTTACGGGTACGGATAACCCGACGAGTAAGATTTTGATCTGACGAGTGCAAGTACGGATGGCCAGTACCCATCGCATACGTACCCGTTGCCATTTTGATCCATCTAAACAAATCAAGAATCGGGAGCTCGTGGCGCCGGATACGGATACACCGACTGGCCACCCGCGACGCGACGCGAGTCGCGTGCCGTCGTTCGACGAGAGAGACCTGGGCGACTGACACGAGGCGTCCCTATCCCCTGCGCGCTTTTCCACGCCGAGACCGCTGGCAGAATCCGCTCCCGCGCTCGTGTACATGTGCGGCCGCCGCGCGGTCCACGGCGCCACGCTGCCACCCCCTTTGGTGCCTTCCAGGCGCGCCCCCGTACGTGTGCCCCCGCGCGAGGCGCCACGGCGACGGCGGCAACCGCACGGCAGGCGCGGCCGCTTATAATCCCCTCCTCGCCCGTGGTCTGGAAACACATCGCCCACATCGCCGTGCGCGCGTCCACTCTGTTGCTCATGTACCCCTACACGCTTCGAGCGGCGGCTAGCAGCACGGGACTCGGGTTCGCGCTCGGCCGGATCGGCGGCACGACGAGGGGCAGCGGTGCCGCGGCGCCAGGCTAGGTGGTACCCGCCGCGGGCGTAGGACGCGGGAGCAGCGTGTCCTCGACGCCGGCCGGCAACGCACCCGTGCCGGGCGACCAGGGCGTCGGCATGGAGCAGCCGAAGCCGCAGGTGCCCCCGCAGGACGCCGCCGCCGGGGGCAAGAACAAACGCGACGACATGCACAAGACCACCGGGTAATCCTGATCCACCGCGTCTCCGATTCTATGCCTTCTCCGCGCGGTATGCTTGCGGTGTTTGATTGGTTTCGGCCACGTCGCGCGCACGCAGGGACGTGATGACCCACTCGTTCGGGGAGGGGTACTCGACGCGGTCGGACGAGGAGGGCTTCGGTGGCGTGTACGGCGGGAACGACCCCGTGGAGCACCCGGGCACCGAGATCCATCCTAGCCACCCCGGTACGTGCCGTGCACGCGCGCTCTGATCTCCGGCAGAAACGCCGGGTTGTTTGTGTGTGAGATGACGGTGTATTGACCGGCGGTGATCCATTCTGCGCAGACTACGACACGTCGCAGGGTTCGGAGGTGAAGAAGGAGAAGGCGCGCCCCTCAAGGACGAAAAGCACGCCACCGCCTAGGCGCAGGCGGCTATATCAGTCGGGGTTGTCGGACGTTTAGTTAGCGCCCAGCTGAGTTTGCTTTGCTCCCGGTTCAGGGGATGTAACGTCCTCGTGGTTCACTGCTTTCGAAACACTACGATCTCAAATTAGTAAGCTGTTTCAAGGAGCTTTCGTGATATGTATGTTATTTCTACTCTTTTCTTGTGGCTTTTTATGTAATAAGCTACAATTATTTTGCGCGTGCCAGATTCAACCTCAGTCTGTCGACCAGTTTATGTATATATAAAAAAAAACCTAAGCTAAGTGGACAATTTATGTATACGTCAACCAAATACTTGAAATGTACGTATTTCGAATAAATTCGATAGCCCTCCAAATCAATTTTTCACTGTCCAATTTATGTATACGTCAACCAAATACTTGAAATGTACGTATTTCGAATAAATTCGATAGCCCTCCAAATCAATTTTTCAGTGTCTTTTTCAGCACTGTTGGATCATTCAACGGCCTATACGAAATTCTCTTAAACTATAATAGCATGACAAATTATAATGGCATGGTTTCTATATGACGAAAAGTAATGGCGAATCTAAAAAACGTGACATTTTATAATGCCATGGTTCAAATGGAGATTGAATTAACCCAGGCTATTGATCATCTACTCAACGCTATCCAGGCCTTATGCTTGCATTTGTAAGAGCTGTCAAGCTGTATGATGGTAGCAAGCCAAAAAGGTAGCGCATGCAATAGCTTTTGAGGTAGCTTTCCTCTTCCATTGCAAGTTCGTGGATGCTTCAATTTTTTGTCAACTGTCAATTGGGGCAATCGTTGCCTCTGCAGGTAATGGTTTTAATAGGTCACGAAACCATCGATATCTGTAGCATTTGTCATTGGAGCTTTGCAGCATATGTGGAGGTTAGGGCTACTAGCCACGTTGGCGCGTTATGGCTGCTTTTAGTTATCACAGAGGGCAGACCCAGCTCCCCGTGCGTGTTGGATTAATTTCAGATTTTACACAGAGCTGAGGGTCATCGTCTACTTTGATGTATAGTTAGCTAGAAACCTCATCTCGTATGACCAATGGATCAGTGTATCCGACTAGGAAAGTAATATGTAACAAAGATTAAAGCAGCACCGACTTTGTAAACCTACCACTAAACTATGTAAGGATGTAAGGTTGGTAGGGACCTAATTAGGACCTAATCTCATATCAACACACTTTAACATACGTGAACAGAGCAACCCAATCCACAAATACAGAATTTGTAGGGTGTTACTTCCATGAGGGGGCATGCCACCGTCTAGTCCCCGTCTAGTCCCCCCCCGCCCATATTTACTGTTTGGCGACTGAATATGTAATCACATTGACCTAAGATAAACACACTCAATTGTATGTGGTAGGCCAAGGATAACCAAAACCGTAATTAGAACTATCGATCTCTGTTATTGGTCGGTGTATGTCGTATACATCAATTTTGAAAAGTTTGAAACTGTTATTTCGAGGGTATCGAGTTTTATTTCTTATCCCTTTATTCTTCCGTGTAATGGATGGACGTATGAGCTTGTTATTGGGTTGGAAGTTTTTCTAATATTTTTCATCATATTTTCCATAGTAGTTGTGGATTTATGCATTTGATACCAAAAGTCACTTCTTTTTTTATTTGATATATGAGATTTTGTTTAACACTCTTTTGGTTGGAGATGAGGTGAGATAGGTGTGGCAGAACCTCTTGAATTATATGGCTTAAATGTGCCTGTCATTGTCTTACATACTTCTTACTGCTGAACATGGGAGCCAGACAACCCCGGAAGTCTGTCGGGTGTCCTCGGGAAACCTCGAATTATCCACTTCATTTTTCCGAGCAGGGCACATTATAGAAGACATTGCATATACAAATATATTACATCAGAGTAAATGACGAAAGTCTTACAAACCATAAGTTTACAAATCGTTTATTAAGTTGATACAAAACATAAGCTTTAGCCGATTAGGCAGTAGGGTACCATGACATATACACACACAAAAGAGGGTTCACCCTGCCCAAGAGTGCACAACTAACTCTTCTACTGGTGACTCCCCTCCTGCAACAAGGGTTTAATAAACCCTGAGTACAAAGGTACTCAACAAGACTTAACCGATGAAAAGGAAAGACTCTAAGGATATGCAGACTTGAAGGGAATCAAGGTAAGTGTAGCAAGAATCAAGATTAACTTTTGCGTAAAAGCTTATTAACAATTGATCCTTTCAATATTTTAGCCCCCCAAGTTAAGTAATAGAAGTCTCTAGTTTGCACTTGATCTAAATAAATCACTTCTTTAACTTTCTCATCTCATGATCATAGTACTAATGTTTCAGTTATTAACTACGATGCAGTTCAGTTGATCGAGTCTTCTTCTCCGAGAAGCAGCGACGATTCGAATCGATTTGGCCCAGCTGGGGTTTCCTTACCACAAGACATATGCAGGTCCCGGTCTCGGACGTACATATATCAACCTTCACTCGGATCCTCCAGAACGTGAATCGGTCTGCGCTACCCGATAGCACAGTACTCCAACTCCCCGCGTCACTCCTGGTGGATTCACATGATGGGTACACGCTACTCTCACCATCTCCCACGCCCAGTGCGCAGTTGTATTTTCACATAATAGAATAGCCGAGGTATCAGGATTACCAGGGTATATGGCCAGTACTACAAGTCACGATCACAAGCGACCCTACAATAATCGGTCCTTAATCGACACAGGCGGGGCACTACGTCAAGACTTCATTCTTGACGCAAGCAAAGGGTCCGCCCGGTCTCAAATTAAATTCATGATCATCATTAAACCTCAGGACCAACCCTGAGCATAGAACCATTAACTCATTGCTCAACTCTTATCAACTAAGCATGGCTAAGCATCATTAAACTAACATAACTAAATAGGGTGATAAGGATGAGTATTGAAAGTCAAGGAAGGCATGCAGCAATTGGTATATCAACCAACTCCTATTCACTTAATGCGCAAAGCATAGACTTATATGAATAACATTTGTAAACACACAAGGAAATCGTTTATACTCCAGGGCTTGCCTTCGATGTTGGGGTTATCAATCACTTTAGAAAACCATAGAAAAGATAACCAACTCCGGCTGATAAGAAATTGTAACATCCTAGGTGTTTGTCACCCGTTAAGAAATGGGTTTGAGCTCAAACATGACATGTTAAGTGGCGATGAAGGTGTCAAGATCAAATCTACAAGAGCGAGCTCCAACTTAAACTTGAGCAACACGCCTTTGCTTGCATATTGGTCCGTTTCAGATATATACCTAAGTAATGTTGAAGGTGCTTCTTTCATGTGCCTCACATCAATTTCCACCCACATGGATGATTGGAAAAGTTTCATGGAGTTTGGAATCAAGAAGTCACATGAAATGATAAGTTATAATCTTTCTTGGATTGCTTTATTAAGTGAATGAAATGGTAGGTCATCAAACAAACATTGCAACCTTGCTCAAACAGCTCTACTTACACTCATGAACAAAAGTTATGAAGGGTTCGTGTTGAGCGAACATCAAGAAAAGATCTCAATTGGTCGAAAACCCTAATTCCAAGGTTAACAAGATGTTTTGACCAAGATGAAGAATTGGTTCATGTACCAGATATGAAGTTTGGCCTTTAATAAAAGTTGAAGTTTTAGTGGAGTAGAACAAACTTTGTTTTTGAACCCAGAGCCAGATCAACTTGGAACTAAGTCAAATCGAGGCTCGAACTTTGAATTGGCAGCTGTTTCCAGTACTTAGAAATTTTTCTAAGTCTGGAATCCATTGTCATCACCATTGGCATTCCGCGTTCTCCAAATTTCATTAAGCAACTTGACTTGACCCCAAAATAAAAGTTGGAGCTAAGTTCATGGAGAAGAGCATGTAAAAAGATGGCACCAGTTTGACCTTGTTTTCACCATCAATTTGAATGTTTGCTTGTCGCTGTCAATACGCTGACACTAGTAGTTTCTGGTTTAATTAACCACTGACGAAGAGCTCTAATGACCATGCGGCCTTAATCAAAGTTGGAGAGTAATCAGAGTTGAGCAAACTTCGTTTTTGGCCCACTATCTGATTCGGCCCGGAAGCGGCCCAAATCGGCTCCCCAACTCACCCTCACAGTCGCCTGCCACTGTTCGGAGTTTTGCCTCAGTGAGCGACGCGTGTTGTGGACGTGGCCGCCATGCGCCCCTGCTCTCTGCCACGTGCCCTGCGCCGCACTCAAGTAGTGGAGCACCAGGGCGACTCGCCCTCACTTCCTCCGCCCTCCCTCTGCGTTCTCTCTCGCTCTTGGTGCCACGCGCCCGCACCAGAGCGGAGCCACCATGGCTGCCGCCGCCGAGCTCCCATGTTGTCACTGCTCCCTCTCCTGCAGCCCCTCTAGCGCTGCCACCGAGTATGCCTATGGCTCCTGACCACCTCCCCAAGCCCTAGGCGGAGCCGAGACCCACCGTGCGCTTGCCGTCGTCAGCCGCCCATTGCCTGCAAGGTTGCCCCTGGCCTGGCCTTTCATTTCATTTATTCTTGCTTTGCTTGACTTGATTAGCTGAGGCTGTGCATCCGCTGCTGGCTGCAGCCAAGCCCCAGCGCGTCCCCTCCTTGCCGCCGCCTCTCTTCCCATTGGCCAAACCCCGGCCGACCCGAGCCAGGTTTCTCATGGCCTTCTTGTGGTGTAGGGAAGATGAAGGACCCCGCGCGAGAATAGGAAGTTTTGCAGGGGGTTAAGTGAAGAACCCATGACTCCGTTGAATAGTGCCAAAAAGGATATTTTTGCTCGGGTTGAATTCGTGAAAACTGCAGGGTCCCCGATGCAAGATTTACATTCCTTTCTTTTGATTTTTGCTGGTTTGGATGATAAACTTTGAAAATGTGTAGTAATTAGTAGAAAAATCGTAAAATAGTAAATGAAGACTTTTTGGAATCCTTATAAAATTATCTATGCAGTAGATCTATAATATGGCATGTTTTAGTTTAAAGTTTTAGCTGTAAAAATAGGTTTGTGCAGTTAGGGTTTTAATGCTAGTCGTATTTATCCT